TGTTCAATGCATCCACATTACCCCAACTATTCTACCTTCCGATGATTAGCCCAATTATGCTGGTCACGCATAAAAATTCTATTTTATTGTGTTTGCTATGTAAAATTGTGTGTATCATAGTGTATGCCCATTGTGCATAACCACACAAAAACACACGGAAATGGAATATTTTTTTTAATAAATATAATAAGGTCTAAATAAATTTATGTAATGTACCTATCTGACTAATTTTGAATGTACATGTCCTTGTTTTATATATGAATGTGTTTAATTGTTTTGACAAATATTGTAATATCCAATCTATTGATTGCAATAAAGATGAATTTGAATTACTAATTAAATACGGTACGACTTGGAGACACCAGACAATATTGACGAATGGTATTTACATTTTATATTTAAAGAAGGAATACAAAATTGTAAAATCAATATTGATGAAAAAAAAATTAATTTTACAGTTCTTTGTGAAATTTTCTTTTCTTTTTAAATTTTCTATTTTATTGTGTTTGCTATATAAAATTGTGTGTATAATAGTTTATGCCCATTGTGCATAACCACACACACACACACCCACATTTATTAATAAATTCTTTGAAATTGACTACTGAGCAAGTGAAAACAGAATTTTAAAATAATTGCGGTAGGCCTACACTTCAAAAGAATACTATATGTATTCATAAACTTATTTAAATTTGCACGAACCTTACGTACGGTTTAAATAGCAAACCGCTTCCTGTGGCCTTGATCTAGGGATGCCAATTCTTTAAATTTTCTGACCTTACCTAAAAAGGCAATTAGGTAACGGGGTGTGGCAGCGAACGTGTTAAATCCATTTTTAGCTAAATACGCTATATTGAACGCCGTAAGTACTGCATTCCCGATTGCCGTGTATCTAAGTACCAAAATATTTGTTAACTCTACGGCAGTCGTGTATATATTTACTATTTGAGGCGTAACATTCTCTGCATAATTTTACTCCAGCCAACGGCATAATAATGACATTTTAGACTCCTTTAGCATCTAGCATATGTGCTAGGAAATTTTTGAAAATTTAGCATATTATTGTCCTAAGAAGAAAAATACAGTTCTCCCTCCAATTAAAGACCCTTCCAATTAAATACCGGGTGTGAGGCTAGTTTAAAGCTGTTCAATTCGCTAAATTATCAGAGTTTCCTGTCCAGGAGGAGAGTTCCCCCCGCCCCCTATGAGGGTCCTGCGATACCACTAACTTCCCACTTCCTCCTGTCAGAACCTCTACCGACCTCTATTATCTAGGAGCCTTGAAATAGGGCGAAGGTAAGTGGGGAGGGGGATCGATGATTAAGCTGATTTGAGGTGTTTTTTTTTTTTACTATGTGACCGCGATTCGTGTTTTTTTATTGGGGGAGGGTGGGGGTGGGGCTGTCGGGGTGCGCGGGGCGAGTGTTTTGGGGTATCTCTAGGCCTAGGCCTCTTACTTCGAAATTCGTATAGTAAAAGGGTGTTTGTGGCGAGCCTCTAGCTAGACTAGTGTCCCAGTCCTAGGGTATCGTCAAAATAAATTATAGTATATAATAAGAGAAATTCATACGGTAACTGAAACAGAACTTTCTCATAGGTAGGCAGTACTACGCTATAGTACTAATACTGAGGCCTATTTAATACACTATTTATAGATCTATTCCCATCTTGAAAGGTAGAAAAAAAAATCATTTTTTTCCAAATAATACAGTGGTGTAGAATAGCTTTTTTTCATAATATTTTCCAGCAAAAAATAATGTAACACGACCCATCGTTATGAAGTTATGATTTTTTAAATAACATGACGTCAAGAATTCAGCCTCATTTGTCGATAAGACAAGATCTACGAATAGATACTTTTTATAAATAAATCATTATATAATAGAGATAAACTCTAAACCGTCTTGCGGTAATGCAAAAATAATTTTGAGCCCCAACAGTGTGTCAAACACCAAAAACAGGGTCGCCATAAAAATATAAGGGGATAAAAAAATATATTAATAAGATTTTTAAAATACATAAAATAGCATAAAATTCATTTTTACATATCAAATATTAAGGATTAAATTAAGGGGAGAAAAATTACAATTAAAAATATCGATATTAGGAAATATTTGAAATAAATCATTGTACGAAAGAGCAACACGACGAAAAATACCATTTTTACGAACATTAACAAGGGAGTGCTGAACTTTTAACATATGATTAATACGAAGCTTACGCACAGGAACATGTAAATCAAAATTAGACACAATTACAATTTAAACATTTAAAAAGAAAAATAAGGTCATTTCTTT